GAGAGAGAGAGAGAGAGAACAGGTGCTTGTAAAATAAGTAAAAAAAATAAGCACTACAGATGAATTTACATATTTTAGGCTTGTGACAGCAATAGCTTGAATTTTGTTTCAGGAAAAACATTAAGTTGTGCACAGTATTTAAGCTGTCTGGGTGTGAGGATTTCCTGCAACATTTTTATTTGTTTTAATTTTTTTCCATAATTTTATTGAGAAACAAATAGCAATGAGACAGTTTCAAATCAAATTGGTAGGACAGTTTCAACAATCAACACATTGCATACATTCTTCCTAGTGATTTTTTGCTGTACAAGATGCGGACATGACATCCTATTTACAAACACTATTAGAACAAATCCCTCTATTCATTAGGAGAATGTAACTATATATCTAGCCTAACCACTTTGAATACACAGATACAAAATGGACATTCATCTGTATCCCCTTTTTTTGTTTAGTTCCGTCACTTGAATATTATAGATGTGGTAACTCAGCAAAATATTCTGAAAGTTCAGTAGCCCATAATAGTATTGGGTCCTCCTCTTCTTATAGCACAACCAATTAGCCCTGAATCCTTCCTCTTTTTTCTCTAGATATTTCAATTTTTCCCTTTCCTTTGTACTTAAAATCTCTTAAACACATATTTCCTAAATTACTGTCTCATTTCAAACTTAATCACCACACTCCACTGTAAGTTTTAGATCAATAAACTAGGAGCAGTATAAATATAAACAGTATATTTCCTTTACCCAGAATGCTGCATACCTGAGAGATACTTTTTGTTTAATATTTGAATACAGTGCTAATAGCGGATGGATCTACGGGTCTTTAAATTCATGTCTTAAGCACAAGTCTAGGCTGGACAAAAGTGATGCCGACCATCCCGTACGTCCAGAAAGCTACACAAAGGGAACAGATGGTGGAGGCTGGAGCAGTGAGAAATAGAAAGAAAAGAAGAAGATGGATAAAATCAAGACAAAATAACAGCCGAGCAGGGATCAGTAAGCATTATACCTGAGTTCCTTTGCAGGAGGAATAATTTGTTCATGTCTCTTAGTGACTGCAGGTGGCAGGTTAAGCAAGTTTGACTTACAAGCTCTGTGATCTAGCAACACGCAGATGACGTAGAACAGAAGCATGTGGAAGGAGACAGAAGAAAAAAGCATCACACAGTCAGACAGCTGTGCAAAGGAAGGGAGGCCCAGGGAGCCGGCTGCCTGCAGGGACAGAGCGGGCACATGCTGTGAAGAGCCCTGGGCTTCGCTAGGCAGCCAAGGGTGGAGGGAAGCCAAAGCGTGGAGGGAAAACAGGAACCTGGGCCAAGTGCATAATTCACTGACTTCCTTAAAAATAAGAGCACAAGGAGCCTTGTTAAAAACAGAAGTTTCCAGGCTGTGGAGTAGAGCAGTTAAATGAATTTGGGGTATCAAAGAGCATAAAGCCAGGCTGTGGACCAGGAGGGAAGGGAGAAAGGGATGGAGATAAGGGAGGGAGGAAAAAAGAATGAAAGACAAAAGAGAGGGATGAAGGGAGGAAGGGAGGAGGAAGAAAGGTTACCCTCCCCAAAAACAATGTCTTCAAAGATGATAACTTATTAGAAAGAAACCACTTTCAAAGGGCTGACTTTATAGATAAATTCTGCCAAGTGTTTCACTACAATTGAATGAGAACAGGCAGTCAAAAGGTAAAATTAAGAGAAACTTTTAGCAAGAATTCATTGTTAGGTGGCTTTTTCACATGGATCTTTTTTCATTTGTTTACTTGCTTGCTTGTTTGTTTAACTTGATTACATTCGCTCCTTGAAGATGCCAGTGAAGCTGTGTGTCTCCGGCAAAGGAGAATGCCCACACTCAAAGTCTTACCTTAAAATACAAGGATAAGCAGATGCTGAACCTGCATCCATGAGCACTTCTCTTTCACTAAACTCCATCCCACACCTGCACATGGCCTTACATCCCGTGCAATGAGCAGAGCGTGAGCCTTTGCTGTTGTTTTACACCTGTGACCTCTGAACAGAACATCAAGATCAAAGTGAACAGCCCTCACAAGTCAGTTGGGGGACTTAGCTGGGCCCAGGCCCTGCGGCTGAGGCAGCAGAGGCTGGAAGTGAGTGCTTTCAGGGAGAGCGTGCACTTTGGGGAAGAAGAGCACCCCAGAGCTAAATACACCCTCAGGATGCCCAGGGAAGATATGCCTTAGTCCTTCTGAGCTTGAAAAGTAGACATAAGCAATATGCTTGCCAAAAACAGTAGAAAAGTAACAGTGAAATTTCAACAAGTGACCTCCAAGGTGACCTACCATGACGGCCCTCAGAGGTGTGACTGACCGACTTCACTGTGGAGTTCCCCTCTCTACTTCCATGTACGCAGCCACCGAGAGAAAGATTGGGGGGGGAGCAGAAAGTCAAAATTCCTGTCCCCTACAGACTAGGAAAATCAAGAAACCCGACTACTAGGGATGGGAATTACACATAATTCCTGGGCCTCACTCTGTGACACTGTGAGGACTAGCTGCTGCTCTGGCATACCTCTGCTTCTTCTCTGATTATGGCTGTTTCTTGAGGCCAGTCACCTGCAAAATGCTGCTCTACTTATGGCAGCATGAGAGAGGCGGGAGCCACACTCACAGAGGGACCAAGGAATAGGCGTGATTAGTGTCACTTGGGGAATCAGCCTGTTGGCTTAATTGGAACATTCTGGGATCAGAAAACTATTTGTTGGCATAGTTATATTTTCTATAATTTCAAACTGATCAGCATTTCTTCAAGAACTCGGCAGAAGGCCCAGGAAAGCTTATCTCAATTTCCTTCTTTGATGTAGTAAGAACCCTTGACAAGAGATTTACCTTTTTACCTTTTTGTTCTTTTTTTTTTTCTTATCCCTTTCTGGTTTTAAGCATGCTCTATGATATAGTTAACTGGAAGCAACACATTTGATTAGCAATCATTCTATTCCTTTGCTTTTGCTGGACAATTAAAAGTCCTGACGCCGCTGAATGGACTTCGTGTGTCCAGAGCACCACTGTTATTTGCGGCAAGCCAGTCGGACCAGGCTTTCACCAGAAGTGAACTGCTCCTACAGAGATAAATATGGCCTTGTGCTGCTAACCCCACCGGTCTTCTTCAGCCCTGACCTCTCCTCACTTTGACCTCCTTCAGTGCAGACTTCCGCGGCCAGCTTCCTCTCTCATATCCTGTTCCCTCCTACCGGTGACTCACCCCGTCCCTCTGTTCCTTCCTTCTTTGCCCTGGCTTTTGGTGCTGGAGGGGCTCAGTGCACCCCTTTCCCTTTTCTGTTTATACTTTATTTCAGTGACATTATCCAATTTTCTGGTTCCAAGTACTCCCCAAGTATCACGCTTCCTCGCTTAAACTTCAACCACCACATCGTTCCCAACCTCCAAACTTAAAATTCAGTTGCTCACAATTCCACACAGATATGAAGTGGCCCAGCAGCTCCTGTGACCAAACAGGTAGTGGGACCCAAACAGCGCACTTCCATGTCAACTCAGTGAGCTGAAAGTAAACAAACAAAGAAACAAAACAGATTAATTTTGAAGTTGTTATATCTCAGCATCTAACACTCTGATGACCAGTCCATGAGGTAATACTTTTATATTTTTATTTCTACCTTTAAAATATCAAATCCATATATTCTACCACACCCTACTGCCTTGAATCTCACCAAACCCAGCCCATTATCATCTTTCAATCAGATTCAGAAATAGTGTTTCCAGCTGATTGTCCTTTCTCTAAGTCTGCTAAAATCTTGTCTGTAAAATAATACTTTAAAAACTTTTCAAGCATCCGTTCATGTTCTTTTTATGCCTAGATACATTAGTACATAGAAACATACTCCCATTAGCTATATCACAGACGTAAATATATCAAATAAGTGGAATTACTTCCTACATGATGTCTGTACTTCTATACATGCGTCGGAGCCTGAGGAAAGAGCTTTGGTTTGTTTTCACTTTTCTTCTTCTAAGCCATGTGCCAAGAATTTAGATTTAAATTGTAAAAGATTTCTGAAATATTATACATGATATACATTGTATAGAGCCACTGGATCCGGCATCATCATCCCTCATAAGCTGTTCTCAGGAAACCACGTGGAAGGAGAACCTTGCTCTACAGATGAGGTGCTGAGCTCAACCAGGAAACCTGATCCCACATCCAGAAGAAAGCTACACAACAGAAGCCATAAGTATGAGTTTAGTCTTGCTTCACTTATTGGTTGTTGGAGGAATGCATTTTTTTTTTCTTTTCTATATAGGAGTAAGGGACTCAGCTATGGAAGATGTGTGTGTGTGTGTGTGTGTGTGTGTGTGTGTGTGTGGTACCTGAACCCACAACCTCATGCTTCCCTGGCAGGCACTGTGCTGCTGAGCTGTATCCCTGGCTGGCAAATACGGTGCTCATGCCCAAACATAGTCCTGGCCGATATTTTTTGTCTGCTTTAATTTTTTCACTCTGATATTTTTAGAATTACATCTTTGCTATTGCTGAACAAAGCTGGAGGGCGCTACTGTTTCAGGGCCTTCCTAGTCACAGTGCATAAACCTGCAAAGCCCTGGAGCAAGCACTTTGCTGGCATTCCCTCCTTTCATCCTGTGTTCAAATGTCATCTTGTCACAGACCTCACTCTGGCTCCCATGACACCCTACCCATTCCTGCTTCATTTTTTTCAGTAATATTCATGTGAAACATTCGCTAATATTTACATAAAGCATACACTAATATCTATGAGAACTATACACTAATATCTATGTGAATCATATACTAATATCTCTATGAATCATTCACTAATATCTATGCCACTCATATGCTGAGATCTATGCCAATCAGATATCTATGCAAATCATACGCTAATATCTGCATGAATCATCCACTGATAGCTAAGCCAACCATATGCTAATATCTATGTGAAGCATCCAAAATTCTTGCTTGGAGATTGACTCTGTTGGGCAAGGAAATGCTGCCCTATCAAAGGATGAAGAACAAATGAAAACTCACTACCAATTAGGCTCAACCCTAGGCAGGGAATACCTTAGTGACAGCTATGAAAATAAGTGTCCAAACACTCACTGCATTTAGCTCACCTCTTCTTCATTTCCCATCCCATTAGACCCACTACTGGATGAATGAAATAGGCTTCATCTGGCTTTTGCAGATTCGGTGGGTGCGGACTGTAGGTACAGGTACTTCTATGCATGCTAAATGTATCTTTCTATGGTGCTTCCAGTAAGGAACATAAGCTTCTAGGTGGGGTGTGAGAAGATAGTTCACACAAGATAATTTTATTGATCCAGAGAAGGATAAACTGAGACAAGGGTGAAGGTTCCATAAACAAAAATGGTGCACGTGCAAGAAGTTTGACACAACAGAGTTTGTACTGCAAGTTTAATGGGAAAGATAAGGAGTAAGAAAGCATGGAAAATTTCATTTCCATCAAAGAAGAGCATTGTATTCAGATCCAAAAGATTGGCAATACTACGGAACATAAAATCTTTACTAAAAAGCAAAATTCTAAAGCATAAAAACAAAATATCTTTACAAAAGAAAAAGATTGCTCAGACCATGTGTACGAAGTCCACCATAGAGAAGCTCCATGTGCTGAAGCTGCGCTAAGATGAGTAGCTCACCTGGCGCAGCGCATCATACACGAGTTTGAGTCACAAGGTATGAAGAGGTTGAAGACACTCATGCTGCACAGACCTGCTAGCTATGTATGTATGTATTTATTTACTTACTTACTTACTTATTTATTTATTGGCGGAACTGGGGATTGAACTCAGAACCTTGTGCTTGCCAGGGAAGTGCTTCCTACTGAGCCATCTTCCTGACCCTAGACCAACTATTCAGTAAAGAATGAATAGGTGCTATTGTGAATGGATGGGATGAAAACACCGAAACAAAGCTTAAACTTGGACAAAGAACATGTGTATAAAATTGGGAAAGAAAGAGGAAATCTTGAATTAATACCAATGCATAGTCACAGAGGGTAGAAATGAAAGAGTTCAGGAAAGGTATCATATGGACAGGGAACACTTAATTATAATAAATGCAAAATCCTTTAGGGGAAAAATTTCATTTCCATCAACACCTTATATATGAAAGTTAAAAAAAAAAACAAAGTTCAACCACAACCACAATATTATTTGAAAGATAAATTTTAATGGCAAAGACTCAAAAGATTTTCACTGTTAGATTTGCTGCATGAAGGCAATTTTACAAAATCTTTAACTGTACATGCCAAATTCCGGGGAGAGGTTTTGAGGTTATTAAGTTCTGTAACAATCAAATTTTCATCACTAAAGCATCTCATAATTCTGTCTTTCATAACTTGGGAACAGTGTGAGCACTGTGGAAAGGATCATGAGATCTTCAACATTTTACAGAGCAATAAAAATGCTTCTGATCATGAATTTCAATCTCTATGATTAAAACATTCACTGACTTGGCAACAGTAAATCCTAACTAGTAGCAGACACATAGGTCCCGTATATGAGTGATTTGTTAATTTACAATACCCATGAATTGCTTTGATAACAAGTCTCTCTTACATGCCTGAGACTGTCTCCTTTATTTATCAAACAATTCCTTTTGGATCACTTTCTTTAAGGCCATTTTAACATCTTTGTTTCTCAAGCTATAGATCAGAGGGTTTAGCATTGGGCTTACAAAGATATAAAGATATATATACAAAGATATAAAACACAGCAATGATTTTACCCTGTTCCACAGATGTCTCAGAAGGGGGCCTCAAGTGCATACAGAACAGTGACCCATAAAAGATGGTTACAGCTGTCAGGTGAGACCCACAGGTGGAGAAGGCCTTGCGCCTGCCCTCAGCAGAGCGGATGCGCAGGATGGCTGCGAAGATGAACACGTAGGAGACCAGGATGATGCCCAGAGAGCAGGTGAGGTTGGACCCGGCCACCACAAACATGGCCATTTCTTTGACGTATGTGTCCGAGCAGGCAAGAACCATGAGTGGGGGGTCAGCACAGTAGAAGTGATTGATCTCATTGGGTCCACAGAAGGTCAGGCGAAGCATCAGGATGGTTTGTGCCAAGCCATTTGCAAAGCCATAAAGGTAAGGAGCAGCAACGAGAGACACACACACACATCTGGACATTTTGCTGCCATAGAGCAAGGGCTGGCAGATGGCCACATAGCGGTCATAGGCCATCAGTGCAAGTACATAATAATCTGTGATCACAAAAGCAATGAAAAAATTGAATTGTAACATACAGCCAACAAAGGAAATAGCCTTCCTCTTGGATAGGAAATTCACCAGCATCTGAGGGGCAACTGTAGTGGCATAACAGAGATCTACAAAGGCGAGGTGGCTGAGGAAGAAGTACATCGGGGTGTGCAGCTTTGAGTCAGTTCTGATTAGGGAAATCATGGTCACGTTCCCAATCACAGTGATAAGGTAGATGAGTAAGAAGACTGCAAACAGCACAGGCTGCAGGTCTGCTCGGTCTGTGAGTCCCAGCAGGATGAACTCGGCCACCACAGAGTAGTTTTGCTTTAGCATTGTGTTTCCGTAGCTTTAGGTAAGTCCTGGAACAAAGGAAGGAAATGTGGATCTCCTTAGAAACACAAGGACAGTCATATTTTTAAATGGTTTTCTGCCATTTTTTTCTGGCAGAAACAAACTCTTTTATCTGGAAATCTTTTAGCATTTTTCAAATCTTCATCATTTTGTTCATTTACCATTTTCTTGAGCTTATTTGTTTAACCTCTGCTTTGTTTTATAATCCTGTTGGTTTTTTTTTTTTACATATGACCTTGTCTGTGGTAAATAAAGTATCAGCTATGGACATTTATCTCTTTTTTCCTAGTTTAATGAATTTTTGGAAGTGAAATTTATAGGGTTCCTTTCATTACAGAACTAGTTCTCTTTACATGGTAGTACAAACCTAAGACTTTTTTTTTCCTTTGGTATTCTCTTACTGTGTAATGCACTTTCATTTTCCCACTTCAAGATATTTCAGGAGGCCCTCAGCCACCCAAATCTTCTTAACACTT